ATACCATTACATAAAATATTATATTGGGTCTTCTAAAAAGTATCCGCGGTACTTTGTCACTAGATATATGACCATCAACACACATCTAGTGACAAAAAACCGCGGATACTTTTTAAATGACCCAATATATTAAATTTCGTAATTATCATATTATTTAATTGAGACTCACAATGCAATGATACATAATTGAAAAGATTATGACAAAAAGAGAAAGAATTAAATTGTAACCAATGTGATGACTATACATATACTTAGACACTACGTGTCTTTAGATATTATAATTAATCTGTGTATGGTATGTTACATTTTTATTTTAATATTTTAAATACATTATTTATAAAGAATAAATTACTTTACCTCATATACAGATGAATTTTTTGACGGTGTCCAATTTTTATATTTGCCATTTATACTCTTTAACCAATTCATTCGGCGTTCTATGTCTTTCGGAATTATTTTCATAACATATCCTTTTTTTAATGAATTGTTACAAAACCGTATTGTACATCCAACCATATTTCTAAAATAATTTCGATAATTTTATTTTTATCAATATACCTTTATGTATCTATGTCGTTTAATGCTGTTGCACCTAACTCTAAAACTGACAATCTGTTGGATATACTAAGACCGTATATCTCTTTCTCTCTCGCAGAATTTCGCTAAAATACGACGTCATCTCTCGTATGGGGCCACTCTGATTATAGGCTCTCTACAATAAACGACTCTAATAGCACAATGTCGACTGTAAGTTGACTTTGCTAAGTCAGGCCTTTAGAGTTGACTGTAAGTCGACATTTACTTTTCATACATCTAGAAGTTATAGTCGACTCAGAGTCGACTTAGGCTATTTTCTTTTTAGGAGACACAAGTATCGTTCTAGCTTTGTCATTCATTAAATGTCATAGGATAAAATAATGTTTGTATCGAGTGTGTCCTCTAAAAGGAAAGCAGCCTTAAAGTCGACTTTGTGCTGTTTCTTTTTGCATATAGTTATGCGACTAATAATAAATTGCGGCTGAATGTAAGAAAATATACCAATCAAAGTCCTTTGTTTCCTTCCTTTCCATGAAATAAAAAATTCTGATTGGTTGAATTTCTTATGTCTTATGTATTATGCATTATGCAAGAGTTTGCATCATGTTTTACACCTTTGTAATGTCACGTCAGCGGTACTTATAAAACTTGTCCAGGAATGTCCCTGGCCAAATTACAAATTTTTCCTTACTTCAATAACCGACGGGGCACTAGAACTGCAGGGACCGCCCCTGACATCT